TTTTTTTTTTTTTTTTTTTTTTCTTTTTGGATTCAAAGATAGGAAAAATGCCAATTTGTCCACTTACCGGAACGATCGTTTAAAAATTGTTTAAAAAAAAAAAGTTTAATACATTATTGCTTAAATTTCAGGAAAGTCCATATGGCAACTCGTCCTGGAGCAATTCGACGACCTTCTAGTTAAGATTCTTCTATTAGCCGCTATTATTTCTTTTGTACGTATATTTATCAATCTCTCGTAATTATGGAGATTGTGCAATAATTAAAACCGTATCCATTGACGCTTGAATGTAATTAATTTCCACTGATAGTGCAACGATACTCGAATATCAAGAAAATCTCTTTTCATTTCTCATTGAAATTAATTCACGAAATTCATTTATCACTTTTTTCGAGTACGATCTGAACACCGATCTAAAGTAATTTACATCGATAATGATGATGATGATGATAGAATAATAATCGATAGAAAGGAATCCGTGAATCCGTGAATCGCCGTTTAGAAAACGTTGAACCTTGCCATTTATCGAGGATAAATGATCGAATGTAATAACCGACTATTATTTATTTTTAGATTATGACGCGGAACGACGATAATTAATAAAATCGAAGCCGTGCATTATGCTCGTCGCGAGCTGCTATAAGTAATTATTAGTTAGCTTCGAAGTTGTATGCACTATGTTTACGAAGGGGGGGTTCAAGGCTCACTTATTATAAATACATCTGGTTTCAAAGGTGAAAAAATAGAGCTTATCGATCTGTCACCGAGCTGTATGAACCAGACCTGTATGGTTATCCTTACGCACGTTTAAAAATTTTTCGTGACGAATGTTAGAAATATGGCTATAAAAGTTTGAAAGATTAGAAGGTAAAATGTGGGATAACTTTTCATTTTATTTTATTTTATCATTATGTTTTTAATATGTCTTGGATAAACAGATTAGATAAATGTCAATGACCCGTTCTGGTACAGAAATGTACTCGTCACTAACCTTCTTGCTTCTTTCCTTTAACATTTTTCTTATCGCTGTTCAACAAGACGATTCCATTTACGAGAGCTTTCAAATTTACGTCACAATACTTCCGAATCGTATTATACATATCGTATGCGCGTATTCTATGATATACTATAATTTCATAACTTCGTGTTCTTTTTAATATTCCATTGGTCGATATATTTATGGATACGTGTCGCCATAATTTTTTTTTTCTTTTTTTATTACCTATATACGTTGCAAAAATTACCTCTACCTAAGTTATCGATTGTATATCTTTTAAGGCAAACTTTTTATTGGACCGATATAAATTTTATCGGTCCATTAAAATGGTAAAAATAAACGGACAACATGTCATCAGCCAGAAGATTGTTATTATTATTATTATTCCTCTCTATGAATATAGATATAATCGAATGTAATCGACAATTTGTATTGCCATAGGTATTAGCTTTATTTGAAGAGCACGAAGATGCGTTCACGGCCTTCGTCGAGCCCTTCGTTATTTTGCTCATCCTGATCGCCAACGCCGTGGTCGGTGTGTGGCAGGAACGCAACGCTGAATCTGCGATCGAGGCGTTGAAGGAGTACGAGCCCGAGATGGGCAAAGTGTTGCGTATGGACAAGCCCGGTGTCCAGAGGATTCGTGCCAAGGAGATCGTGCCCGGCGATGTGGTGGAAGTGTCCGTCGGTGACAAGATCCCTGCCGATATCCGTCTAACCAAGATCTTCTCGACCACCCTCAGGATCGACCAGTCTATCCTGACCGGTGAATCAGTCTCGGTTATCAAGCATACGGACCCTGTTCCCGACCCACGTGCCGTCAATCAGGTTATCATTTGCATCGATTGATATTATTACTCCTTTTTTTCTTCTTCTTCTTCTTTTCAAGGATTTCAAGAAAATTAATGTAATTTGTTTACACAGGACAAGAAGAACATCTTGTTCTCCGGCACGAACGTAGCCGCGGGCAAAGCTCGCGGTGTGGTGATCGGAACGGGGTTGAACACCGCTATCGGTAAGATTCGTACCGAGATGTCCGAGACGGAGGAGATCAAGACGCCCCTTCAGCAAAAGCTGGACGAGTTTGGTGAACAATTGTCTAAGGTTATCTCCGTAATCTGCGTGGCTGTCTGGGCCATCAATATTGGACACTTCAACGATCCCGCCCACGGTGGATCGTGGATCAAGGGCGCCATCTACTATTTCAAGATTGCCGTTGCTCTTGCCGTAGCCGCCATTCCCGAAGGTTTGCCGGCTGTGATCACCACTTGTTTGGCTTTGGGCACGCGTCGTATGGCGAAGAAGAATGCCATCGTCCGATCCTTGCCATCCGTCGAGACCCTTGGCTGTACCTCTGTCATCTGCTCGGACAAGACTGGTACATTGACTACCAATCAGATGTCTGTCAGCCGGTGAGTTGAAGATAGAAATTCTCTCGCTAGGGATTCGTCGAATTCTTGCTCGATATTAATTTGAGAACGATAATTGTTACAGTATGTTCATCTTCGACAAGATCGAGGGGAACGACAGCAGCTTCCACGAGTTCGAGATCACCGGCTCCACCTACGAGCCGGTCGGTGAGATATTTTTGAGAGGAAAGAAGATCCGCGGCCAAGATTACGAGACGCTCCACGAGATTGGCACTATCTGTATCATGTGTAACGATTCCGCCATCGATTTCAACGAGTTCAAACAAGCATTCGAGAAAGTAGGCGAGGCAACGGAGACCGCCCTCATCGTTCTCGCGGAGAAAATCAATCCTTACGGTGTCTCGAAGAGCGGGTTGGACAGGCGTAACGCGGCCATCGCTGTAAGACAAGACATAGAGACGAAATGGAAGAAGGAATTCACCTTGGAATTCTCTCGCGATCGTAAATCTATGTCTTCTTACTGTTCGCCCTTGAAACCGACGAAATTGGGCACCGGGCCGAAACTCTTCGTCAAAGGCGCCCCAGAGGGTGTGCTGGACAGGTGCACGCACGCTCGTGTCGGATCTACCAAGGTTCCTCTTACATCCACTTTGAAGAACCGTATCTTGGATCTGACTCGCCAATACGGTACTGGCCGAGATACCCTTCGCTGTCTTGCCCTTGCCACTGCTGACCACCCGATGAAACCTGACGATATGGATCTTGACGATTCCACGAAATTCTACACGTACGAGAAGGATCTCACGTTCATCGGTGTCGTTGGTATGCTCGACCCACCTCGCAAGGAAGTGTTCGACTCCATTGCCAGGTGTCGTGCCGCTGGTATCCGTGTAATAGTCATCACTGGAGACAACAAGGCTACCGCAGAAGCTATCTGCAGACGTATAGGTGTGTTCGGTGAAAACGAGGACACGACCGGGAAGTCGTACTCTGGACGCGAGTTCGACGATCTTCCTCCGTCGGAACAGAAGGCCGCCTGCGCCAGGGCTCGTCTATTCTCACGTGTGGAACCTGCTCACAAGTCTAAGATCGTTGAGTTCTTGCAAAGTATGAACGAAATCTCGGCTATGGTAAGTTATTTAGAAGAAGAAAAAGAAGCGTGGATGAGGTTTATATATATTTTATAAGTAAATTAAATCCGATCTCTTTAATTTTGATTTTTCTCTCTGTCTCGTATTTTATAGACTGGTGATGGTGTAAATGACGCACCCGCCTTGAAAAAAGCCGAGATTGGTATTGCTATGGGTTCTGGAACCGCTGTTGCGAAATCCGCATCTGAGATGGTATTGGCCGACGACAATTTCTCTTCCATTGTCGCGGCTGTTGAGGAAGGTCGTGCGATCTATAACAATATGAAACAGTTCATTCGTTATCTGATCTCTTCCAATATTGGTGAAGTCGTAAGGTCCGTGTAAAAAATTATCTACTATCAGATATATATGAATTAAAGTAGATAAGTGATTTATTTAAGATTTTCTTCTTTCTTGATTACAGTATATTCTTGACTGCCGCCCTTGGTCTTCCCGAAGCTCTAATCCCTGTACAACTTTTGTGGGTCAATTTGGTCACTGACGGTCTTCCAGCTACTGCGCTTGGTTTCAATCCACCCGATTTGGACATCATGAGCAAGGTAATTCCTTGCCAAGAAACGAAATTATTCGCGAGAATGTGAAAGGAAGTTGTAATTATGATTATAATATTATAGCCTCCCCGTAAAGCCGACGAATCTCTTATTTCTGGCTGGTTGTTCTTCCGCTATCTGGCTATTGGCGGATATGTAGGTGCTGCGACTGTTGGCTCAGCTGCATGGTGGTTCCTGTACAGTCCGAATGGCCCACAGATGAATTATTACCAATTGGTAATTATTTAGAAATCAATAATTTCGATATGTAATCGTAACGACAATGGATGTAACTTTCAGACTCATCATTTAGCGTGCATGGGTGGTGGCGAGGAATTCAAGGGCCTTAACTGTAAGATTTTCACAGATCCTCATCCCATGACGATGGCTCTGTCTGTACTCGTAACCATTGAAATGTTGAACGCTATGAACAGGTAAGATTATACAAATAAACATTCTTTTGTTCATATTTATATTAATTTCTATTTTATTTTTCTTTTAGTTTATCTGAAAATCAATCTCTCATCACTATGCCGCCCTGGTCTAACATGTGGCTCATTGCCTCCATGGCTCTTTCTTTCACACTTCACTTTGTCATCCTTTACGTCGATGTCCTTTCGGTATATAAAAGAAGAATTGCTCTTCTTATTTTTATCCTATGTAATATAATAATTTAAATTCTTATTTGTTTCAGTCTGTATTCCAAGTTACCCCACTGACGAGCGAGGAGTGGGTTACCGTTATGAAGTTTTCCATTCCAGTGGTACTTCTCGACGAAACCCTAAAGTTCATTGCCAGAAAGTTTACAGATGGTGAGAATCCAATTGACTCAGTGCATTCGATCGTTCTAATGTGGGCTGTGTTCTTTGGACTATTAATTATTTATCCCATATAGAACGTCCGTGAAAACAAACATTTAATCTAACAGACAGTGTTTTTCCTATGGAAAACATTTTGCAAATGAGTTCTCGGACTTGCAATTGCATTTAAACAAAAAACCGAAGTTCTTCCCCGTTGCCCGGGAAGCCTCGAAGATAAGTTATTAATTGAAGTGCGTTTAAGTGAGATTTTAACCAGTTTGACTGTTGTGCATGGTGTTAGTACAACCAATACAAATTTGCCACCAAGGCCCACCATGCCCGCATCACACCGTACCCTGAAGTCGCTCTACAATTATATTACGGGTTTCAGTGGCTTCGAGTGATGAAAAAGAGACCCCGCGCAATCAAAACAATTGTGATTGTTAAATTATTTTCTACGAGTGCCTTTTAAACATTAACTTTTCCTTCCCGACAAAAAAAGAAACAATATCCATCAATGTTTTTTCTAACCTTGATACATTAGCATACATACCTGTTCCCTTAGCAATCCCCTTTTTCAACACGTACACCTTGCATGGTACTTGAGCACAATGCATTTCTAAAACATTAATTTATTCGTCAATAAGTAATCCTTATGGATTCTAAATAATTGCATCTTATTGTTCTATGTGTATTATACATCTGACGATGTCTTAGCGATAACTTAAATATTTTTTTTTTTTTTTTTTTTTTTACATCTGGCGGTGTCTTTGCCATAACTTAAAATTTTTTTTTTTTTTTTTTTTTACATCTGGCGGTGTCTTTGCCATAACTTAAAATTTTTTTTTTTTTTTTTTTTTTTCACATTAAGTAAAATATTACAATTAGAATATCGAGAATTGCTATTTGAATTAGTTAAAACATCGACAGAATTCTAGAAAGCATGTTATATCATCATGTTTTACAGTAGTTCTATTTTTGAACTTTTCTAACGCACAGCAGTTCACACTACACAATTTTTTTTTCATTTTAGTTTATTTGAAAAATCCTTAGATATTTTATAATTTCCTTTTGTAATTTATTTCTATTTTTATCTATCTTTTTATCTCTATCCTTCTATCTCTAACTGCTTTTATTGTTGCTTGTTTTTTAAAAATTTGTTATTGTTTATTAATCCCCAGCATCTGGAGTGATCAAGACGTCAAAACTGGAATTGTCCGCTTCGTTGCTAACGTGTGAACGCAGAGAATGTGCATGAAGTTCAGAAATTAATGGATCTCAATGTTTGAACCTGTCTATTATTATGTCTTCCTCCCTTCGACGAGTAATTGCATGCACAATTGTATTCTACCAATGGTACATCCCAACTAAAAGAAAGGAAAAAAAAATATTCACTCACCTCGTAGAACAATCACTGTCAATGGTTAGCAAATCCTGCTGTGCTTCACCTAACTCATCTCCACGATGATACTCAATTGTTTCACCTTACAACTCTATTAATCAATATTTAGCCTGGTTCTCAAGTAAGACTCAACTACAACTATTTACAGGTAAAGAATAAAATTTATATATATATATATTTTTTTTTAATTGTCATTGTTATAAATTATGTTGGCACGGCAGGATCATTCTAACATCTTTGCACTATCATTGCATCCACGCTATTATCTTTACGTATACCTTATTGGGTGTAACTTATATATATATATATTTGAATGATTAATACCACGTAATAGATTTGTAATATTATTAATTTATTAGACAAGGATTGTAAGAGTTTGTGCTCGTAAGAAAAAAAATCGAACTTTACGATCAATGACTTCTCACAATCCATGTCTCGTCGTATTAATCTCGTCCTTCTCTTAATATGGTAGTCTGAAAACGAGAACGCTCGATGAGAAGGTACATGTTCGTTCCTATTAGCGACAATGATAGTTTATGAACGATTCGAGGCATTCGAGTCTCACGATTTAACTCTTTCATTATAGAATTAGGTAAGTAGAGGAAGATAGTCTAAGTAAATTTGAATAAATGAAGAATTTGTATGAAAGTATGCGTTTTTAGACAAATAAATAATATTAACTTTAATGAATTTTCAATAAGTCGATAGAAATAATCCATCGTAATGAAAGAGTTGACATCAATACGAAACGTTCATTGTCCAACAATCTACATTCCTTGCAAAGATAATTATGATTAATATGTAATATAATTGATAATGAAAAAAAAAAATTATTTTAACTGTAACGAACTATCCCGAACAGTAAATGTTAAAATCTCTAATAATAAATCTACCTTCTTTACTCTAAACGTTAGCTCTGTTCTTTATCAACAGAACAAATAGACTTCTTTTAAAATAATCAGAATTAATATATATAGTTGATTGTTATAATTAATACAACATAAATATGTTGTTAAATCTTGAATTTGATCAATTCTTGCCACGTTATTGAAGACTAATGAAACATTGTCCAATCTAACCTAACATTTATATTCTGCCTTGTAGATACTTTCATATGCCATCATCAATTACTATTTGTTCGTGTTGTTATTTTAACAACATAGTTAACGGTGTTGAAATGTCGAGCAATGTTTCGAATTCAGACTTGCCATCAGAGACAGAAACACACATTCTATATTATAATACACGCGCCACATGCGAACAATGGAAGATCCGGTGTCATCACGAGTATACGTGGGCCTTTTTAACGCATCTAACTGTCTCTTAATCATTTCTCTCATTCGAGGTTTTATAAATCATACGGCATTAGGAAGATACCAGAAGATAAATAAGTATCGTTCGGCCAAATCTCTTTTTGTTTCTTTTTTTTTTTTTTTTTTTTTTTTTTTTTTTTCTTTTTTTCTCTTGCGAGAAAGGAAAGCGAAAAATAGTTAAAAAATTGAAAACCTGCTTCTCGACCATATGCAAATGCAATAAGACTGACGATGTGGCTTTGAGAAGCGGTTTTATGTGTGCTTTTTTTTTCTTTTTGCGTGTAGAAAAGACGAGACAAGAAGACGTTTCTCTCTTTTTTGCCCGTATAATTTTTTTTTCTCTCTCTCTCTTTGTATGTCCACCATGTTCGTACGACGCGACGAGTGCATAATTAATTTAATTCTACGTAGCGTCATCCGCAATGTTTACAATTAGTGTAATATATATAAATATATATTAATTATCGGTTAGGGTGTGATACTTTTGGTATAGGCATAATTAAACTTAATTAGATCCATGATGCAAAAATCCGTGAAAAAAAAAAGAAAAAGAAAAAAAGAAAAGAAAAATAATTTGTACTATTTAATCGTCCATGCGTTTGGGATGCAGCGTTGAAGCGTGCGCATACCCTTTGCATCGCTTTTTTTTTTATTTTCATTTTCATTCGTTTCTCTTCCTTCTATACCTTATTCAACTAACTTGTGTTTTAATCGAAATAATGGAATTCATATTTTATACAGCGAAATATCTATCGTCACGAGTATCGGCACGATCTTCTTCGACAATTCTGTGCGAATTTCTGTGTAGAAACGAACAGAAACATAAAATGTGTAAGATGAATTTAATTAAGTATTTAATCTCTTTCTGTTTTTTTTTTCCTTTTTTTTTTTTTTCCTTTTTTTCTTTCCTTTTTAATTATTAGCACAGAAATATCAGAAGCATCACGATGTCGATACAATCAGAGAAAAGAAAAATTAAAAATTAAAAATGAAAAGAAAAAAAATATATATATGAAACAGTCTTAACAGCACTTGATCGACGCTCAATAAACGTTGATGAACGAGAGAAATTTTGTACTTTCTTGCGTTCACTCGACGTTTCGAACGTTTGTAAGTACTTGCATATTGTGTGGATTGTGTTCTCTTTCTTTCTCGCTTTTTTCTTCTTCTTTCTTCTCATTGTTTTTTTTTTATCTCTTACTTTTTTCCCTCTCTCTTACAAAAGATCCGTGAAAAGGAAAAAAAAAAAAAATCGTGGAGCAGTAGAGAGTGCCATCGACGAGAGAGAAATCGAACGAAGCGTTGGACAAGCGATTTCGACTCGTGTTCTCGAAGCTGTATCTTCTTCGATCGGCGATCGAAAGAGAAATTATTATGAATTCTATTTTCACCTATCTTGTAACTTAAACCGTCTCGTTCCTTCCATATCTGAAGAAGATATAATTCGAAACGAGTTAATTTTTTGAAATTAAAAGAAGAAGGAAAGAGAAATGAAATAAAAATTTTTTGAATCGAAAGAAAATTCGTCCAACGCTTTGATCAACCTAATCTAATACGATAAAGTTACGATGATGAAAGCATCGGTCGCATCGTTCGTACAGGAAGTACCTATTTCTAATGATAATAATAATATTAATAATAATAATAATAATAATGATAATTAATAACTTATGATAGAGAGTGCGACTATTTGAATGATCATTTTGATGCATACTACTATCAACCGTCACAGACGCACGTTGTGGCGAGCCACGGTGTGATGATCCTAATTAATCAATGCCCGATAGTACGAATTTAACGGTCTAACAGTAATTACGGGACGATCATGTACACGAAAAATGAAAATAATACTTCAAATCCGCAAATTATTCGCAAGATCGTTGATACGAAACAGAACGCTCTATATATAATGTATACAAATATCGATCGATAACTGCGAATCGAAACAGAAAACAGAACATTCTTATCGATCGAGTCACAGGCGACGGATGTTCAGGGTACGAATATATTCGAGATCTGTTCTCGAGAATATTTTCTAATCGAATGGACATCGAATCGAAAGTACGATAATCATTTTCAACGCTGTGTCCATTTTCGAAAAAAAATGTTCTTTTCGAGAACAACTCTCAATAGATTTATACCCTTAGTAAAAAGAAAAAGAAGTTTATTTATCAGTTTGTTTTATTTATTCGTGTACACGTACATATATATATATATATAGATATACATAGAAGTTCGAATCGAGAAACAATTTATAAGTGAAAGTAAATATTGCATCGCGACTACGATTAATCTCGATATTATTAAAATGACGGTTTGACGTAGTGCGTTATTTGTTGTAATAAAAAAAAAAAAAAAAAGAAAAGAAAAAAAATATTAATGAAGGAACGTGAGATCATGTATTACTAATGCGTGTTCGAAGTTTTCTATGATCGGCCTACTGTTTTACGAGTTTAGAAGATCGNNTTTTAAGAATTACAATAATAGTATAATCTCGCTTAGAAAAAGAAAAAAAAAAAAAAAGAATAGTGGCATCTGCCGCGTGTAAGAACATCGAACACTTAATACAATGTGAACTGTAATAAGTGTTTGTCTCCATTCACGCCTGCGACAATTTATGTCTCCTTCTCTCATTCATTCATCACTCCTCATTCCTCTTTCCTTTCTCACCGTTCATATCTTCTATCCTTCATCGTAATTTTATACTGTGGTTAATATTTTTAGCGATTTCTGGGTGTGCATGTTTTTTTTTTTTTTTTTAGAAGAATGTCTCTTTTTTTCGATATTTTTTTCATAGGACTGGAAATCAAGAAAATAAAGATTTTTGATCACTTGAAAAGTGATTTCCTTATTAAATTATATTCTTTTTTTTTTTTATTATTCTTTTCTCCCTATCTCTTTTCTCACAGTTCTTACAATACAACAAAATTGGAATATTTTTTTTTTTTAATTAATAATCCGTAATGGACACTTGGAGACCTCTACCATTCTTAACTATAAACACCTGAATTACAGACTATTCCAGGCTCTTAATAGTTCTTTTCTCGATTAAAACCCTCATGAAAAACTCTCCTCAGGAAAATCGAAGAAATACGAAAAAATCTTCTATGGTAATTCTCTCGTGGAAACAGAAGTGGATCATCCGTGTTGTAACGAAGTTCAAACCGCCATTGCCATTTCGTGTTATTCATCATCATCATCGACCATTCTGTGTTCCCTCCTTCGAATTGTTGTTTGAATTTTTGCATGCATCCTCTGGACAAATAAAAAAAAAAGAAAAATAACGAAATAAGAAAAAAAAAATCGACAAAATATAATTGTTGGCCTGGAAAAAAAAGTCCTAATCGAAGAAGTTGTCCCCGACACTTTTTTTTTGCTAACTCCTGCCTGCTGGTGTGTGAAAACTATTCAGTCACAGAATAAAAGCGAACGTGATCGGAGGATATTCCACATATGGATCGATCAGGTAACAATTTTTTTTTATTTTTCTTCATTGTTTTGTATATATATATATATTATAGTTAGAGTATAGATAAGTTTTTTTAGAGAAAGTTGCCCCCCCCCCCCTTAAAAACGCCACGATACATGACACGATTTATGACGACAACAAATTTACTGTGACGGTAGAAGAAAATGAAACGAAAACACGTAGTAAGAAATTGGAGTGATTATCCTTGCTTGTAAATGAAAAACGAATTTGTGATTCTTTTAATCGCTTATCCGATCCGATTAGTTTATTTTATTTCACAGCACTTCTTCCTTCTTTAATCTTGTTTCTGAAGTTTGGTTTGATTTTTTTTTTTTTTTTTTTTTTTAGAAGAAAGCCATTTTTCGTTCAATGCATTGCACGTATTAAATTTTTTCATGAAATTCAATGTGAGAAATAAAATGGATAACTATCGATATTTAACAAAGAATGCAATGCGTTAATCGAGAAAGAAGCATCCACATTCCATAAAATGAAAGATCTTAAAAAAGAAATTCCGATTAGACGATCTCAATATCAGAATCTTATAAATCGAACTGGATGGCGTACAAAATAAATACTGTACACAACTCTAATTCCAATATTCATTCATTCTTTTTAACTCTTAACGTCAATTTAACTTTTTAACGTACAATCAAAAATCCAGTTTAATTAATTATTATAAATTAATTAATATAATTCCACGATTTTATTATTAAGAAATTTAACACAACTGTGACGTAAGGGTTAAAAACGAAACAGAAGCAAATCTAAAAGAAAAAAAAAAAAAAAAGGAAGGAAGGACGAAAGAGGACAAAAATACAAGATGGACGTTACAGGCCCTGGCTATAGGATATCCGGATTTCCGGGGAACAACGTTATGCCCCGCGTGTTGTTCCTCGTTCACGACGTTCTCTTTCATTAATCGAGATTGCGTGTGATATGCTTGCAGTGGCACCGCCAGTGACGCCGCCGAAATAAAGCTCGGGAACACGATAGGACGAAAATCGACACCAGTCCGGACACAGAGAAAATTATCGTCAGAATGGCACTTAAAACAACAATACCCACCCAATGCGACAAGAACCCGCAAGCTGACCGATGGGATCGAGCCGGAAACAGATATATATATATATACATGTATATATATATCTTACATCATCGACACGTAATACAATGATATACACACACACACATATACATACAGATTTATACACACATATGCATATGTACTTACACATTACAATCGCAAACAACACGAGGATATATTATCGTTGGGGAAAAAAGAGATAGGGAATGGGGCCCCTTTTTTTCCTCTTTCGTTGAGATAAGAAAATTTGTATGATTTTTTTTTCCTTTTTTTTTTTTTTTCTTTTTTTGGTGAAACGAGTATGGCGAGTAATTTTCAAAGAAATTTAAATTAATGGGGAGGGACAAGTGATCCCAAAGTGGTGTGTCTGGGTTTTAAGTGTTAATTTCGTTCCCTGTTCTTGAAAACTTAGGAAGAAGAAAAAGAATCTGTGTTGTTCGCCTTTTCGAGAGAAAGAAAGAGAGAGAGAGAAAAAGAAAAAGACGTTAAATAACATAGGAAAAGACAAGTATGTATCGTGAAACGTGTCGATATTTCAAAAACTGGTCGATCGTTGTTGTACATTAGTTAAAATTACGTTTGAAGCTTTATTATTACAAAGAAAACTGTAATGTGCTATACTCTTGCTATACTCGTTTTACCGATCATGCTCAATATATCGCGTCCTGGTTAGAGGGATGTTGAAAGGGATGTTGAAAGGGGAGGGAGGAAGAGAGATGCACACACTTTGGAAGAGACAAAAGGGATACGTTACTCGTCATCCACGACGACGACGACGATAATGTGACAATTGTTTCTAGAGTAGATAGAGAGAAAAATGGACAAAGATTAAAGGGAAAAAGAAAATTGAAATGAAAAAAAATGAATCACGCTCGAGGTCCCAACGCTTCGAGAAGGGCTTGTCTGTCGTTGAATTCTCGACGCGTTTCGAGAACGAATAATTGAATGATAAAATGTGAACGTCTAATCGGAGCAGCTTGCCATTTTATCATATGGTTTGTCCACTCGAGAGATCGAACGAGGGAGAGACGTTGAATGAATTGGTGGTTAAGGATCGAATTAATCGATGTGCGCCTGTGTTATTATGTTGCAGTAAACGAAACGGTCGTCGACAAATGGGCCTAGCCTTGTCTCGCCGTGTGCCGCCGGCAACAAAATTCCTCTGCCAGTAACATCGAGCCGACTAAACTACAGAGAGAAAGAGAGAGAGAATTAATATTAATAATAATAATAAATAACGTAAGGAGAAAAAGCAAGGAGAGAAAAAGGAGACACGGAGAAGGAGCAAGCAAGAAGTCGAGAAATGGAATCGAAAGAGGAGGAGGGATCTGTGTGGAAAAGTGTATCGATGAAATTTTAGAAAAAAATTCAAGGCACAAAAGGAGGGATGCAATGATCTGCGTCGAGAGAACGAGAGAGAAAGAGGAAAATTGAAATGGTTTTCTTTTTTTTTTTTTTTTTTCGATTCAAATTGATCTGCGCTATTGGACGACGACCATGATGGCAAGGGAACCATTTTGTTCTTCTACATCTACCCCGATTTCCCTGGCTGGTTACCGCACTGCCGCTACTTTTCCGTTTCGTCGTCTGCGAATGCAAGAAAGAAACTTTGTTCACTTTGTGTTTCTTGTTCTTCGGGTGTAGAGAATCTAAATATATTATATACATTTATATAAATAAGGAAGAGGAAGTTGTTTCCAAAATAGGATATCGAATCAATGGTTTATATAAATTAACCATTGTAGATAAAATATGGATGGAAAAAAAGGAAAGAAAATTTGAGTGTTTCGAGTCCTTTGATCGATAATATGTTTTTTTTTTTCTTTTTAATGTGCAGTTTTTATTTATAATTCTTCCTTAATATTGGTAGAATTTTTTTCAACGCATACACGATTTCTTTTTTAATTTTTTTTTTTTTTTTTATTCATGTCTAATCGAAAAAATTATCGATTTCGTTCTTATTTTCCCTTCGATCGTTCTTTTTCTCTTCTCCTCGCTTCTTTTTCCTTCTATCCATTCCTTTTTTTCTTCCTCGATCTTCTTCACTTTCTCTCTCTCTTTCTTTCTCTTCATTTCCATTTCTTCTCTCTAATCGTGTCTTTTTATCGCTAACGATGCTAATTAACGCCTTAAAAAAAGACACTTCTATCGATAAGAAACACAATTTCTAATCGTCGTCCAGAAAAAGTTTGAAGATATAATTTAAGATTCCTTAAGTATTGGAAAAATATTCGAATGAACATCATTAAACATCGAGCCAAAAAATTGAGATTATTTTCCTCGGAAATGATCGTCAGTTCTCTGCCAATAAGGAGGCCCTCCCTTATCAAGATCATCGTGTATCTTTACATCGATTCTAGGATCATCGAGACTAGAGAGAGAAACACGAGAGATTCGATCGAGAGAGACCAAAGAATCCAGAGAGAACAATTGGCGAATCGGAATGATGACGATAAGTGGATCGATTAATTTAAAAGAAGATAAAGAATGGCGGCAGAAAAGATGGAAAAGCAAGTGAGAATCGAAGAAGCGTTACCTCCCTTTTGTCGTTGGACCGAGTGGTACGCGCGTTTCCTTTTTTTTTTTTTTTTAGGACGAAT